CTGAAACGTCAGCCTTCCTGCTCCTCTGATGCTGCTTGACCTGCTGTGTTCATCCAGCTCTACACCTTGTTATCTCAGATTCTCCAGCATCTGCAGTTCCTACCATCTCTGAAACAATTTTAACCCCACTGCGAAGCCTCTTCTCAGGATGCCTACCCTGAAGAAGTTACCCTCCTCCCTCCGGAAAAACATCAGTGGATCCGCCTGCCCCTCTCTCCCTATTTATTTCAGAACCCCCTTCCCCTCCCCCATTTCTGAAGAAGGGCCTAGGCCCGAAACGTCAGCATTCCTGCTCCTCTGATGCTGCTTGGCCTGCTGTGTTCATCCAGCTCTACACCTCGTTATCTCAGACACAGAGAGAATGTGCCCAGATAGACAGTCCACACAGACAGTTGCCTGAGGCTGGAATTAAACCTGGGTCCCCAGTGCCGTAAGGCTGCAGTGCTATCAACTAAGCCACCATGCTACTTGGTTGAAGTCAATGGTTTTGACAGTGAAAATATACAGTGGGAATCTTATAGAGGTCGCAAGAATGTTTTGGATGACATAAGCCTTTCAAACCTTTTGCTTTCAGAAAACCAGCACTGCTTTCTTAACCAGTTCACAGAATAGGTCATGGAGGATTATAGGAGCAGTCAATGACTTAGTTCCTGCTTGATAATAAACTGTAAGGACAGGCATTTTATGGCCACTTCAATCCTATTGTCAGAAGCCGACAGGAATTTTCCAGTTGACCTCTAGGCACCTGAGGTGTTGGGAACGAGGCAGGCTATCCAGAGTTGGCAGAGGGGTAACAGTAGTCGAGGTAGTCTGTGAATCTACATCCCCTTGCAGTCACAGAAAGTGAAAGGATCGCATCTCTAACTCCTATTTCATTCAGAGAACCGCCAGTTAAATTGTCAACAAAACCAACCAGTCTCTTCCCAACAGTATAACTAATGCAGTGTTCACTCGCCTGATAGGCGCTGATGACTTGTTAGACCCACTGGAGCTGAGATAATGAATTGCTGAGTTTCCTTGGCAACGAGCACAAAAAAAGCTTGTTAAAACCTGTGCCATTAAAAAAAAGCATAACACATTCCAAATTCTTTGCATGATAAATGATTATGATAAATGTATAATAATTAAGCATTCTCAAACAAGATTTAGATTGAGTATATCTTTAGTGGTACAGACCTGATGGACCAAAGGGCCTCTTCTGTACTGTATAATTCTACGATTAGAACAGACACAATGTACAGCAAACTCTTTATGAACCGGCACCTATGAGATCAGGAGTGGGCTAGTTGATCAAATATTGCGGATAATCAAGCGGTCCACATAATCAATGTAAAAACACATTGGGGTTAGTAATAGAAAGGTAATGCAGGGGGTATACATATCACTGTTATATTTTGTTTACAGCATAAGTCACTAAAACAATAATGCAACTTTGCCTTAAATAAAACTTACCAGCAAAGAGCCTTCGCACTCTCACCCTCAACCAACTACTTGGACATTGCGGTACTTGAGGAGAAATTGAATTGAAATTGCATCAACTGTTGATATTTTGTGTGGCCATTCAATTGAACAAGTATACTTACATTAAGATGAATAAATTTATAAAACTATAATAATTGGACAGAATAATACAGTAAACATTGCAGTAATTCAGATATACAATTTTTGCAGGTTTATGAGGGTGCCAGTTCATAAGGTGCCAGTTAAAACAAAGTTTCCTGTATATCTGAAGAATCCCAACTTAGCACGAAAGATGAGTGATAAAAAAAATCAATGTTTATTGATTTGTGAACTACTAAAGTTAGTCTGGTATAACAGGAAGCATTCCTTGCAATTAGATTAGATCCACTCTCCTATTTAACAGCGGTTTACCTATCTCGAGAATTACTGAACATTTCAAATTATTCACACGGAGAACACTGGAGAAACTCAGCAGGTCTGCCGGTATCTGTGGAGTGAAAAAACAGAGTTAATGCTTCAAGTCCGGAATGACTCTTCCTCAGAACAGTTCCAAAGAAGAGTCACACTGCACTTGAAATATTAACTCTGTTTCTCTCTCTACAGATGCTACCAGACCTGTTTGCTGAGTTTCTCCAGCATTCTTTATGTTTGTTTCAGATTTCTAGCCACTGTAGTATTTTGCCTTTATCTCAAATTATTCAATTTCCTAACTCCTTGGTGAAGATAAATGGTCATTTTTAAAATTCCTACTGCCTTCCGTGGGTGACACGATTTGTTGAAATAGTCAATGTCCTGTGGCCCTCATGACCAGTTGCGATCTCAACTATTCTAATGTTCTAATATTCTAAGGTTTAATGTAACCCTCCACTCTCTGTAAATTTGAAGTTTAAGCATGTTGAAGGCCCAAAGATCATGAAGCAGGGATTCTTTAATCCACTCGCATCAGGTCTTTACAAACATGATGGAAAATTAAGGTTAAACTAAGAAAACAGAGTAATTACATGAAACTAAGCCTGCAGTTCACATCTAGTTGAGGAAATCCTTACCTGCCTCCTCCTCTCACTACAAGGTATCTTTTTGATAAAGAAACCCCTTCCTCCAGACAGCGAACAACTTGACTGCTCCAGCTCCCATACTCGGTGTCTCCCTCACTGTGACCACCTACTGCCAGAGATCCAGTTACATTCAGCTCATCCAAACTCTACTGTCCATATCTTAACTTGCACTTAGTCACGTTCATCATCATTCACAGACCTATACTAGCCCCTGGTCTGGCTGCACTGCAAAATATTCCCATTCTACTTTTCAAGTTCCTCCATGACCTCACTGCTCCCTACCTTTGCAATCTCCTCAAATCCTATAACCCTGTAAAATATCTGCACTCTTCCAATTCTGGCTTGTTGCATATCCCCAATATCACTGCTTCAGCTGCTTAGGTACTTAGCTATGGGCTTTCAGCTTCTCTGTCTCATCCATTAAGTATTGCTTAAAACCTATATGTTTGACCAAGCTTATTTCCCTTGATCATCAATTCTACTATCCCTTTATGTGGCTCAGTGTTAGGTTTAGTTTGATAACTGATCTTGTGAAATGCATTAAACATGAATATAAATACAAACTACTGTGTTTGGATGAAGCAGATTAGAGAGGGTGACAACAGAATCTAGAACAGGATATTGGATACAATTCAGTTATTTGTTTTTCAAGTCTTACATTCTGTCCCCATATTGACATTTTGCAATTTTTATTATTTTGCAAAGTTAAATATCAGAACTTGCAGCAACTTGAGAGACAGAGTTGATTGGAATCTCAGTTTCCCTGCAGAACATGCTCAGGAGGTGCAAAACTGAGGCACCACGGAAGTAATAAGTTGTGACATGTTTACATTGGTATAGTAAAGTTGACATAAATATTTTTGACAGGAAAAAGAAGTCAATATATGACAAAACCCTGACAACAAGAAATGAGGTTTCATAGACTAGAACTGCACCCAGAAGTCGTATTTTTAACATTATTTATTATGACAGTAAATTTACTTTGGGTTGTTGTAAATCATCCCACATAATAGCTGACTTTATTATTTATTGGGCTATGGAGCCAAATGTAAATTTGCAGTTTGTATTAACAATTATTGCTAAGCAACGACAGACCTGTTGTCACAGCAGAGCTCCAACACCCATTTGGTCTGTTATTATAATTCCAAATGGTTACTATGCCTTTGCACCCTTCAGTTTTCTACCCACACCTGTCCCCTCTCTTCAGGTTCCACAACGTCTACAATACCAAACCACTTTTAAACAGTGCGCAGTCATCAGTCCCATCCCTTCCCCCTCGCCGCTCCACTCCCACCCCACCCCCACTCACACATACACATAAACGCACACACACACAACCCCAACCTTATATGGAAACAGAAATTCTGGATTCGTTAAATTTAGGCCCTTTCCTCACAGGACTGCTGATGTTTTTGCAAGAGAAGTTCATCTTCTTGCTAAAAAGACTTCTGCTGTCTCCTGACGTGCCACCATGATATGGTTTCCTGAGTAAAATGCCACTGCCAGTATGTCATGAACTGGTGCTGCCTGATAAGTCAGAGAACATATGCCATAAAGATCAGATTCCTGTTGAGACAGAAGTTTATTAACAGTACTATTTGTATTGTTGTAATACCAGAGACATATATATAGTCTGGTTCTGCGCTTACTGATATTACGTTATACACATAGTGGACTGAGTGAACACACCACACTCACTCCATTACACCAAGAAAACAACTGAAGGTGAGGTGAGTATCTTTAAACTGGAATGTCGAAATGTTGTGTGGTCTTCAAACTGTCTTAAGGTAGAACACCAGTCTGCCACAATACAATAACATCCAAGATCCACTCACATTTTCCAGTGGTACATCTCCACCCTCCTCCTCTGTTCCAAAGAAAACAACTCCAGCCAATGCAATCTAACCTCAAAACTAATATTCCCTAATCCAAACAACAGTCTCATAAACCTCCTCCGCAAAAAAAAACTGAACGGACCAGCTGGGATTGATGAGGCACAGGAAATGACAATGGCAAACTGTTGACCCTACAAAGTCTTCCTTACTAACATTTGGGGACAAGTGCCAAAACTGGGAGAGCTGTCTCGCAGACCAGTCAAGTGACAGCCTGACATAGTTGTACTAACAGCAATATGCTTTATAGACAATGTCCCATATACCATCAACACCCTCCCTGGGTATGTTCTGTTTCACTGGCAAGACAGACCCAGCAGAGGTGGTGGAACAGCGATATGCAGTCAGGAGACAGTTGCCTTGGGAGTCCTCAACATTGTCTCCAGACGCCATAAAGTCTCATGGCATTGGGTCAAATATCAGCAAGGTTATCTCTGTGTACTGTCAACTCTCCCCTCAACATGCTTGGAGGAAGCTCTGAAGGTGGCAACGGCACAGAAGACACTCTGGGTGGGGTACTTCAATGTCCATAACAAGACTTGGCTCAGTATCAGAACTACTGATCGAGCTGGTCCTAAAGGACATTTCCGCTGGACTGAGAGTGAACAAGAACTGCAGATGCTGGAGTCAGAGAAAACACAGTGTGGAGCTGGAGGAACACAGCAGGGCAGGCAGCATCGGAGGAGCAGGAAAGTTGACATTTCCGATCGGGTCCCTCCTTCTGCTAGACTGGATTGGCAGGAGAAGTGACCAAAGCACAGTCCTTGTGGAGATAAATTGAAAATACCCTCCATCGTGTTGTGTGGCACTATCACTGTGCTAAAAGGGATAGATTTTGCATAGATCTAGCAACTCAAAACTGGGCATCCATGAGGCATTGTGGGCCATTAGCAGGAGCCAGGTTGTACTCTAATACAATCGACAACCTCATGGCCTGACATACCCCTTACTCTACCATTACCATCAAGCCAGGACATCAATCCTAGTTCAATGAAGAGTGCAGGAGGGAATGCCAGGAGGAGCACCAGGCCTACTTAAAATGGTGAAGCTACAAAACAGCACTACTTGCATAAGCAGGAAGTACTAGACAGAGTTAAGCGACTCCATAACCAACCAATCAGCTCTAAACTCTGCAGTCCTACCACATCGAGTGACGAGTGATGACGGACAATTAAAACAACTCACTGGAGGAGATAACAAGGTGTAAAGCTGGATGAACACAGCTGGTCAGGCAGCATCAGAGGAGCAGGAAAGCTGACGTTTCGGGGGAGGAGGATCTGCAAACATCCCCATCCTCAATGATTTCGGGAGCTCAGCACATCAGGGCAAAAGATAAGGCTGAAGCATTTGCAATAATCTTCAGCCTGAAGCACTGAATAGATGAGCCATCTCAGCCTCCTTCTGAGGACCCCATAGTATGACGGATATCAGTTTTTGACTGCTCTTATTCACTCCATGTGTTAGTTATCAAGAAATGGCTGGAGACACTGGATACCATAAAGGCTATGGGCTCTGACAATATTCGGCCAATAGTATTGAAGATCTGTGCTCCACAACTTGCTGTGCCCTTAGCTGAGCTGCTCCAGTATGGCTCCAATATTATTATAGCTCAGTAAAGTGGAAAATAGCCCGAGTCCAAAAAGCAGGACATGTCCATCCTAGTCAATCACCGTTCCATCAGTCTACTCTCGACTATCAGTAAAGTGATGGAAGGCACCAGCAACAGTGCTGCCAAGCAACACTTTCTTAGCAATAACCTGCTTGCTGATGCATAGTTTGGGTTCTGCCAAGTCTACTCAGCTCCTGACTTCCTTACAGCCTTGGATCAAATATAGACAGCACAGTGGCTCAGTGGTTAGCACTGCTGCCTCACAGCACCTGAGACCCAGGCTTGATACCAGCCTTGGCCAACTGTCTGTGAGGAGTTTGCATATACTGCCCGTGGACGGGTGGGTTCTGCGTGGGTTTCCTCCGGGTGCTCTGGTTTCCTCCCACAGTCCAAAGATGTGCAGGTTAGGCAGATTGGGCATGCTAAATTGCCCCGTAGCGTCCAGGGATGTGCAGGCTAGATGGATTAGCCATGCAGCATTACAGGGATGGGATGGGATGCTCTTTGGATGGTCGGTGTGGACTCAATGAGTCAAATGGCATGCTTCCACAATGTCTATGGACAAAAGAGCTGAATTCCACAGCTGAGAAGAGAGTGACAGCACTTGACAATATTTGACCAAATGTGGCATCAAGGAACCCCATCAAAACTGGAGTCAATGGGAATCAGGGGGAAATCTCTGCACTAGTTACAGCCTTCCAAGGAAGATGGTTGCAGTTATTGGATGAGTGCAGCTCCAACAACAATCATGAAACTTGCCTACATCTAGGACGAAGCACCTCACTTGATGAGTATCACATCCACAAACACCCATTCCATTCACCACCATCACCCAGTGAGTGGTGTGTGCCACCTACAAGATGCACTGCAGAAATTCACCAAGGCTCCTGAGTCAACACCTTCCAAATTCATGACTGTGACCATCTATAAAGACAAGGGCAGCAGATACATGGAACACCACCATCTGCAAGTTCCACTTCAAGCCACTAATCATCCTGACTTGGAAATATATCGGCATTCCTTCATTGTCACTGGGTCAAAATTCTGAAACTCCCTGAGCAATAGTATTGTGCGTGTCTCTACACCAAATGGACTGCAATGGTTCCCGCAATGTGGTGACAAGAACTGTGTGTGGTTTTCCAGCTGTGGCCTAACACATGTTTTATCCAGTTCCCACATTATCTCTCAGCTCTTAGAATCTGTGCCTGGTTGAATAAAGGGAGCCAATTCTCACATGTCTTTTTCACCGCCTTCAGTAATCAGTGGTCATTAAGTCTAAGGCCTGATGTGTCCCTTTGTACTAAGTTTGTGAACTAGAAGATTTGGAAATAACTTTTCTTCGCCATTTTCTTAGCTATCAGAAAATCAAACTCTCTTCAAGTCAGTGAATTCAAATCAATGGCAGCAATTTAAATTTTATTTGTGGCCAGATACACATCTACGTGATCTACAGCAACAAAAAAAATTGTTCCTCTTAGTCCTCTAGGCTACTCTGCCAGTGCCACAGATGAATTTGCAAACTTGAAAGCGTAGCCCATTAAATCTGCCTTCTTTCTGTCCTGCTGTTTGTTTCTTTGGAGGCACAGAGTCAGAAAGAAAGACTGTCATTAAATCCTGCCTTCCAGGATGTCACTGTGCTGCTTAGTAACTAATTAAGTACTTTTGAAATGTAGCCAACATTGTGATATATGAAACATCCCTATTACTGGGCCAGTTATTCTATGTTTAAGTGCCACATTCCTCAGAGGTGTTTCAGAACATGTCCAAATAGGTTACTGAAAGAAAACATCTCCCCCTAAGTGGGCTTGACAGGATAGAAGTGGAGATATTGTTTCCCCTTGTGGGAAAGGCTGAAACCGGAGGGCCTAATCTTAGAATGAGGGGCCACCTATTTAAGATAGACAGGAGGAGGAATTTCTTCTCTCAGAGGACAGTGAATCTGTGGAATTCTCTACCATAAAGGGCTGTTGAGGTTCGGTTATCAAGTACATTCAAGGCTGAGATAGATTTTTAATCAGTAAGAGAATCGAGAGTTTGGGGAAAAGGCAGGAAAGTGGCATTGAGGATTATCAGATCTGCCACGATCAGATTGAATAGTGGACCAAATGGTCTAACTCTGCTCCTACATCTTCATGGTCTTATTTCATAGTGGTAGTGTCCCTTCCTCAGAGCCAGAAGGTTTGCATTCAAGTTTGCCCTTGTGTCATAACATGTCCCAATAGGTTGATTAAGAAAGACCTTCCCTTAGCCACACCAGTCTGATTTTGAAGGCTATAATCAGGCCTAGTGTTCCCTTGAATGGGAAAATGCTTGGGAATAGCACCTGCAGTAAAAGGGAGATTTGTAGTACAGAGACAACAAGGTGCAGAGCTGGATGAACACAGCAGGCCAAGCAGCATCACAGGAGCAGAAAGGCTGACGTTTCGGGCCTAGACCCTTCATCAGAAATGGGGGAGGGGAAGGGGGTTCTGAAATAAAAAGGGAGAGAGTGGGAGGCGGATAGAAGA